CCTCCTTATTCACTGTCCAGTTTTCACATGCATCTGAGGCTACTGAAAAAACAACGGCTTGGGTCAGGCACACGTCAGTCTTCAAAGTGACATCTTTGCTCTTTAACACTTTGAAGAGGCCTTTTGCAGCAGATCTGTCTGATGCAACACATCCTTTGATTTCTTGATTGCTGCTTCCACGGGCATTGATTGTGGGTCCACGTAAAATGAAATCCTTGACAACTTAAAACATTTTCTCTCTTGTTTCATGTTGACGTGTAATCCAGACTGAAGGCTTAGATCTTCATCAGTAAATGCTTCAAGTCCTCTTCACTTTCAGCAAGGCTGTGTTACCTGCATAACACAGGTTGTTCCTGAGTCTTCCTCCAATCCTGATGCTGCATTTTCTTCATATACTCCAGCTTCTCAGACTATTTACTCATCAGACATATTGGATTGAGTATGGTTAAAGGATATAACCCTGATGTACACCTTTCTTGACTTTAAACTATGCAGCATCCCCTTGTTCTATTCAAATGACTGCCTCTTGGTCTAGGTTCAGGTGCTACGTGAGTACAATTAAGTGTTCTAGAATTCTGATTCCTTGCAATATTATCCTTAATTTGTTATGATCTGCACAGTTAAATGCTTTTGCATAGTCAATAAAACATGGTAAAACACAATAAAACAAGGTAAACATCCTTCTGGTAGTCTTTGCCTTCGGTCAAGATTCATCTGACATGAGCAATGATATCCTTCATTCTACGTGCTCTTCTGAACAAGCTTAAAATTTTGGCAGTTCCCTGTCGATGTACTACTGCAACCATTTTTAATTATCTTCAGCATAATTTCACTTGTGTATGATGTTAATGATACTATTTGATAACTTCTCCATCTTGTTGGATTACCTTTCCTTGGAAGAGGCATATGTATGGATCTCTTCCAGTTGGCTGGTCAGGTAGCTATCTTCCAAATTTCTTGGCATAGACAAGTGAACACTTCCAGCCCCGCATTTATTGTTAAAACATCTCAATTGGTATTCCATCAATTCTTAGAGCCTTTTGTTTTGTTTTGTTTTTTGTTTTTTGCCAATTCCTTCAGTATAGCTTGGACTTCTTCCTTCTTGATCATATGCTACCTTATGAAATGGCTGAACATTGACCAATTTTTGTAGAACAGTGACTGTGTTTTCCTTCCATTTTCTTGTGACACTTCCTGCGTTGTTCAGTATTTTGGCCGTAACCAAAAAACTCATTGCCATTGAGTCTATTCCCACTCACAGCAGCCCTGATTGGGTTTCTGAGGCTATAAATCTTTACAGAAGTAGACTGCCCCATCTTCCTTCCATGGAGTGGCTGATGGCTTTGAACCACTGACCTTCTGGTTGGCAGCCAAATGCCTTATCCACTATGCCACCAGAGCTCCTAAACTAAAACTAAACTCATTGCCGTTGAGTTGGATCCGACTGATAGTGACCCCTTCTTGGGTTTCTAAGGCAGTATCACTATGGAAGTAGATTGGGCAATCTACCCTTCAAAGAGTGACTGGTGGGTTTGAACCACCAGCCTTCTGGTTAGCAATCAAGTGCCTTAGCCACTATGCCACCAGAGCTCCTACTAGAGCTCCTAGAATCCTTTAATATTGCAACTCAGCTTCAGAAATGCAAAGCCTGTTCTTCTTGTTTAATTTTCTAAATCCAGGTTTTCACACATTTCATTACAATACTACATTGCCTTCTCAAGCTGCCCTTTGAAATCTTCTCTTCAGCTCTTTTACTTCATCATTTCTTCAATTAGCTTTAGCTATTCTGTGTCCAAGAGCAAGTTTCAGAGTCTCTTCTGACATCCATGTTTGTCTTTTCTTTCTTTCTTCTCTTTTTAATGAGCTTTTCCTTTCTTCATGTATGACTTCCCTGATGTGATCCCACCACTCATCTGGGCTTTCATCATGAGTGTTCAATTTGTCCAATATCTTCTTGAGATGGTTTCTACATTCTAGTGGAACACTATCATACTTTGGCTCTCACGGACCTGTTTCAATTTTCTTCAACTTCAACTGGAACTTGCATGTGAACAACGAATGATCTGTTCTACAGTCACCCCAGCCTTGCTCTGATAATGATACTGAGCTTCTCCATTTTCTCTTTACACAAATGTGGTGGATTTCATTCTTGGGCAATTAGTATGTAACTGTTCATAACTGTATGTCATTTTTTTCTATTTTTCTTTAATCCTCAAGGTGGTGGTGTTGTACTCAAAAACAGAACTCTTTTCATTTCAATTTTTTATGTTAATATTTTTTTCTGGAAATTTACTTGAAAAAGTTATATATTTTAAATAAGAATTTTAAGCCTGATACCTTATATAGAGTCCATATGCCTATAAACTCTGATCTTTTAACTTAATTTCTTATTATTAAAATGAAAAAATTCCCAGTAAGCAAATGAAAAGCAATACTCATTCAGTATCTTAAAAAGCCCAGTGCCAACACTGCATAACATGGATGAACTTGGAGGACATTATGCTGAGTGAAATAAGTCAATCACAAAAGGACAAATATTGTATTAGTCCGTTATTGTAAAAGTTAAGGA